TTGGAAGAAATGCCGTAACATTTGCAGGAGCACAGATGTATAATAAACTCCCTTCAAATATAAAAGATGCAAGTTCGCTCAATATATTAAAAAAAGAAACTATTAGACCACATTAAAAACCAATACATTTTATAACTTGGACCACCGCCTTATATAGTCAGTACTTGAAACATTGCTTCTACGCAGCTAACTTGCTACTTATATTTAATTTTAATCTACCCTAATTTATGTTCACTTTTTTTTGTTATTATTTTGTTCTGTGCGACTTATTTAAAATTGTATAATGTACTCATGTAAGTGACATGTATTTGTCTTAATGAGTAAATAAAGATCTTTAAACCGAATCTGACGATAAATAAAATATAATCAAATTCAATTGAATTTGATGGTAGATTCCTTAACCAGGTCGTAGGACTCTTCAACTAAGTGGTAGGACTCTAGTGGTACCACTCTCTTACCAATTTCAGCCGGAACAGGTGCGTGCACTGCTGTGTCCGGTCTGACGGTATAGGGAGCCATTCCGTCTTAGTCGTCAGAGGTAACAACGCATATCTAGATTTCTTTATTTGTAGTTGGCTATAGGTGTCCATAGGTAAGTATTTACCGAGTGGTGGCGGTGTAAGAATATCCACTACCCCATATCATCCTGTGGGTGTTAAAGAGGCGACAGAGGGAAACAAATCAGGAAATGGGTAGCAGCGTCTTCCTAATCACAAATATGGCAAATATCCCCTCCATCTATGGGGGAGGCCTATGTTCAGAAGTGGAATTTAGTAGGCTGTAACGGTAACAATATAGGTGTCTATGGAATGAATTCACCTCTCACCATCAGGTAGACTGTGTGGCCGCTTGTCACCACTATTCTATAAAATAATAATTACTTAGGCTTTAAAAAACTAAACTGTAAACAGTCCAAAATAAAAGTGAAGTAAAATTCATCACGCCACGTACAGGAGAGAGCAGCACAATGTGTGCTGGGCTAACTAGTACCAATCTAGAAACCGACCAAGATCCAAACCAATTTTGTGGCCAATGATGTCACAAAGAACTACAAAGTGGATGTCTTTCTAGTGTCAACTACATAAACATTGACCTCGACTCGTATTCGAACGCAGGGCCCTCGGGCGCAGTAATCTCCAACGAAGCGGTTTCATGAGTAGTGTAGTTGTACCACTTCTAGACCACCTGAGTCAGACGTGGTTCAACGACGTTCGTCGACGCCCGAACCTAAAAAAAGGTTTTGGCATGCTCTGATCACGAATCCGCGGTCCATTTTTGTGTAGAATGCACGGTTCCGGAGATGTGTAGATCAATTAGCTAATATCTAATTATATCTAATTGATATCCGGTAAGGGCCTCCACCGTCATTAGCGTCCCATTGTTCCTATTTCTATTGTTCTATTGTTCATTAATCACCCTCATTGCAGCGTGTGCGTCGACTATATCAGTGCTATTGTTTATTATAATTCTTTGTTTATACAACGCTAATCTGAATCATCAATAAAACACATTACATAATTTTGTTACAATTTTTATTTATAAAATACAAAATCTTATTAATTATTATCTATAAAATAGGAGCGAAACATCTCATCCACTAAAATATCGTTGTACAATGTGTTCCTTGTAAATATACTCGTAAAACTATGTATTGAACATCCTTGAAACTTATATAGTAAATACATTAAGCAATATTCGCCACAAACTGAAGTCCACTCATTCTGAATCCTATCAACATTCCAGTTCCATCTTTTACAATTCCTTTTTAAAAACTCTAGATGATATCGTACAGGTGATCGTCCATATGAATCAAAATATTGACCGACGTCATTCGTATCGATATATAAAGCTACCCAATGTGATCCTGGTTTATCATCTGTATCCAAATTACATATTATATACGTTGGTACGTGGGTATACATAGGCAGTCTATTAGCTGCATAAACATTATTTTCTAGACTGGGGTGAATCTTTTTCAGATGTTGTTGTACATCTAGTGTATCCATGATATTACTGCTATTAGTAGATTATTACAGTACCTAGCTACTCAATGAATAACATAGGAATGGTCAATTATAGTGATTTCTACATATTAAATTGCATTTTTGTGATATACAAATCGTACTTGAGTCATTGATCACCAAACAAAACACAATACGAAGAAATGTTGAGATAGGCAACGGAAATGTGAGATAAACTGATATGTTTCTAAATATTAAATTGCATTTTTGTGATATACAAATCGTACTTGAGTCATTGATCACCAAACAAAACACAATACGAAGAAATGTTGAGATAGGCAACGGAAATGTGAGATAAACTGATATGTTTCTAAATATTAAATTGCATTTTTGTGTTATACAAATCGTACTTGAGTCATTGATCACCAAACAAAACACAATACGAAGAAATGTTGAGATAGGCAACGGAAATGTGAGATAAACTGGTTGACGCATAAAGTAATTATCAACTCATTACGGAAAAACTTTAGATTAGAATTTTTACGTACTGGTGGTATATAATACCAACAAACGCAGTCATCGAGTTAGTGTACGGTCGTTTGGCTACAGTGGATCTATCAATAGTACATTTGTGTTACTTCAATACACCAAAGGCTATGGATGTAAGTGTTTATTCTATTGACTAAATTACTTTTTTTCTGTTATTTTCATGTGTGTGTGTATTATTTTATTTAAATATTGTGTATGTATATGATTAAGCCGTGGTAACTCAGATGGTTAGCGCTAGCTGTAAATTTCACAGTACGCGACCCGGGTTCGATCCCCGCCAGCACCAATTAAATTGTTAATAGCAATTTTAAGTGCTTATTACCACGTGCTTGGTGGTGAAGGAAAACATCGTGAGGAAACCTGCATGTCTGAGAAAATTTCGAAGGCATGTGAAGTTCACCAACACACATTGAGGGAGCGCGGCGGACATTTCCTTGCTCTAAAACCCTCTCAGAAATGAGAGGAGGCCTATGTTCAGCAGTGGACTTTAATAGGCTGTAATTTTAACTTTTTTAACTTTTATGATTAAGTGTTAACAAATTGATATTAACATGATAACTGTGTTGTTGCAGAAATCATTGAGCTTCGATGAAGATACCTATAAACAGTATTACTACTCGCCACTCTCCCCTCAAGAAGAGAGTGATAACCTCGTCATTAATAATAACACATGCGATGGTGGAAAAAGAAAATCGCAATCGATTGATCATTTTTTTGAAGCTGAATCAAAAATAAAAAAGAGGAAGGGAAAACTTCAGTGAAGTGTGCACCAGTGCTTTTTTCTCCACAATCATGGAAGAGAATACGGAACTATTCAATAGCGAATTAAATCAGGAGTTGTCTAAAGTTTGTGAAGAAATGGAGAGGGGTCAACTGTTCGATTCGTCATACGATGATGAGTTGTATCATCACTGTGCGATGGTTGAAACACAGTTTAAGTATGTAAAATAAACATTCATTTCGATCATAATTTACATATTGTCTTATACAGTTTTTAATAAATTTAAACATTTTAGCAGTCAACCACTACAACTTGGAAGAGGAACGAAGCGAACGTGCAGCAAAGAATCCAAGATCATCAAAAAACCAACAACGGAAGCAGAAGCGCATACCTCTGCAGGGAACAGTATCAGTAACGATGATCAAGTGGAATGTCCAACGTGCCATATATTTATCAAGAAACGGTATTTAGCTAATCATTTTAAAAGTAATGTTCATAAAAATAATCTTTTAAATTCACATAATTCTTTATCAAACGTTAGTGTTATTGAATCTGCTTTTGGAAATAGGATTTTAACTTATAAAATCAAGAGTAGAGTAGATCGTTCGACATGGGTAAATTTTGAAACTCCTGAACTATTTTTAAATTCTATTAAAGATGATATTTTATTTTTATTACAAGAGTGTATTCATCAACACATAATTTTTAAGGTAAACTTCATATTGCATGCTGATTTTGTTCAACAAACTAAAGATATTCATGATACGTTCGATTTTCAAACGCTTAACTATATTATTTGTCAAGGAGATGACTTAAATATTTTTCTTTCATCTTTGAATGATACAATTACTACTAAAATTAGTGCTTTCGAAAAAAAAGATAGTGGATGGAGTCTAAAAAACATAAAATCTATAGACATGAATGTTAATAAATTTAACCCCCTACGCGGTACTTCATACATAGATCTTCCTCGTGACATAAAATTAAAAAAGGCTGTTATAAATGTAAAAAACAAGGATTATTTTTGTTTTAAATGGGCGTTACTCTCGGCGTTATATCCTGTAAACAAACACACCGATCGGGTATCATCGTACGTTAAACATGCAAATAAACTTAAATTTGATGGTATTTCCTTTCCGGTTAAAATTTCTGACATAGCAAAAGTAGAGAAATTAAATGATATTAGTATTAATGTTTTTGGGTTAGAATATAATAAAGAAAAACGATGTAATTCTATAGTAGGTCCATTATTTTTAACAAAGTGTCGTAAAGATAGACATATCAATTTATTATTTTTTTCCAAGGATACAAAAAATCATTATTGCTATATAAAAAATTTATCGCGGTTAGTTAGTAAACAAATTTCAAAAGACGGTCACATCATGTACATTTGTGAAGCATGTCTACTTCGTTTTCCATCTCAGGAAAGGTTAAATAACCATGAACAATACGATTGTGCTCACATTTGTACAGTATTACCAAACAGTGAAACTTTAAAAAAAAAGAATTGGTTTGGTCAACCTATTTCAAATGATAAAATTAAATTTGATAGTTATGAAAAAAAGTTAAAGATACCATTCGTAGTTTATGCTGATTTTGAAGCATTTTTAAAACCAATAGAATCATGTTCTAACGATCCTTCCAAACCTTTCACTCATAATATTCAGAAACATGAAGTACATAGTTTTGGATATTATATAAAATGTTCATATGATGATAAATTATCAAAATATGTAACATATTGCGGACCCAACTGTGCACAAGTGTTTATGGAAAGTTTATCTAACAATCTAAAAGAAATAAATAGACTTCAAAAATATCCACCACTTCCGCTAACAAATGAAGACAAAAACCAAATTTCAAATGCAACCATTTGTCATATTTGTGAAACTGAGTTGGCAAAACATTTTTATGATTTTGATTGGTACACTGGTAGTTTTATAGGTGTTGCTCATGAATCATGTTGTTCGAAGATCAGAACACCTAGTTATATACCAATATTTTTACACAACCTTAGTCACTATGATGCTCATTTTATTGTTCACGCGTTAAACTTTTGTGATGGTGAAGTCGAAGTTATCCCTCAAAATAAAGAAAAATATATATCCTTTTCCAAAAAATTAAAAGTGAATAACCACGAAATTATATTGAGATTCTTAGATTCATTTAAGTTTTTATCGTGTAAATTAGAAGAATTGGCCAAAAATCTCAGTAATGATCAATTTCAAGAATTACGTAGAAATTACCCTAATGATGAAGATTTCTTTCGTTTAAAACGGAAAGGTGTTTATCCATATGAACTTATGACTAATTATGATAGTTTAAATCTAACATCGCTCCCTGAACAAAAATGTTTTTATAGTTCACTCACAGATTCACATATTTCAAATGATGATTACAATCATGCTAAAGATGTTTGGGAACATTTTGGGTGTTGTAATATGCTAGATTATTCAAACCTATATTTAAAAACAGACGTTTTACTTTTATCCGATGTATTTGAAAACTTTAGAAAGTTATGTATTAATACATATGATTTAGACCCTGCCCATTATTACACAGCACCCGGTTTAAGTTGGGATGCAATGTTAAAATATACAAAAATAGAATTAGAACTTTTAACAGATTATGAAAAAATTGCATTTATTAGATCAGGTATCAGAGGTGGTGTATCTCAATGTAGTAATCGTTATGCTAGAGCTAATAACAAATACATGGAGGATTATGATACAGGGAAACCAAATTCATATATCACATATTTTGATGCCAACAATTTATATGGTTGGGCTATGTCTCAATATCTTCCTACTGGTGGATTCGAATGGGTAAATCCAAATACAGAATTTAATGTGTCTAAGACATCAGACTTCGGTTTTATTTTAGAAGTTGATTTGGAATATCCAGATGAACTTCATGATTTACATTCGGACTTTCCTTTATGTCCAGAAAACATTTGTGTAGGCAATATTAATGAGAATAAACTAGTCCCAAATTTAAATAATAAAGATAAATATGTAATTCATTACAGAAATTTAAAGCAGTGCATAGAAATGGGGGTTAAATTAACTAAAATTCATAGAGTTTTAAAATTTAAACAGTCTCCCTGGTTGAAGATGTACATAGATCTAAACACAAAATTAAGAACTTTAGCAAAATCAGATTTCGAAAAAGATTTTTATAAATTAATGAATAATTCAGTCTTCGGTAAGACTATGGAGAATATTGAAAAAAGGGTTAACATAAAATTAGTTACGCACTGGGAGAACCAGGGTAAAGCTTTAGGTGCTCAAGATCTAATCGCTAAACCACAATTTCATAGCCTTTCAATATTTTCGGAAAACCTAGTTGCGGTTCAGTTGCGAAAAACGAAGTTAATATATAACAAACCAATTTATTTAGGGTTTTGCATTTTAGATATTTCAAAAACATTAATGTATGATTTTCATTATAACTATATGATTAAAAAGTTTAGTAAAATCAAATTATTGTATACAGATACGGATAGTTTAATATATCATATATTTACAAATGATTTTTACACTGATATAAAACCTGACCTTTCATCATACTTTGATACCTCAGATTATGATACAAATAATATTTTTGAATATCCAAAATTAAATAAAAAGAAATTAGGTTTTTTTAAAGATGAAAATAATGGTAAAATCATGAAAGAATTTGTGGGTTTACGATCCAAAATGTACGCTTTTAACTTAGAGAATAAGACTATAGCCAAGGCAAAAGGGGTAAATAAATGTATCACTAAAAAGATGACAATGAATAGTTATAAGTCTTCTCTATTTAATAAAAAAGTGCAATATTATAGTATGCTTAGATTTAAATCAATTAAACACACAATTTTCACACAAAAATTAAATAAGATAGGTTTATCATATAATGACACAAAGAGACATATTTTAGATAATAATATTGAAACATTAGCTTGGGGTCATTATAAACTGCGTTAAGTGTTGATAGTTTTTACTTTTATGTCTGCGTTTAAGAAAAATTTATATTGATTGTAAAATTATGATAATACTATAATATGACGTAGTTTATTACATATTTAAACATTGTTTTATTGTAAATAATTTAAGACTTTTATGTCTGCGTTTAAGAAAAATTTATATTGATTGTAAAATTATGATAATACTATAATATGACGTAGTTTATTACATATTTAAACATTGTTTTATTGTAAATAATTTAAGTTAATTGTTGTTTCTATTTATTTGAGGTTGAGTTAATTGTAAAATTATGATGTACTAATTGTTGTTTCTATTTATTTGAGGTTGAGTTAATTGTAAAATTATGATGTACTAATTGTGTTAGAAATAGTATACAGATAATTCTGTTTTATATAATTTTTGGAATATATATTAATTGTTTACACCAACACTTTCATTTTTTATTTCACCCCTTTGAACTTTAGACGTGTGTTATGTTTCACTTTATCCATCCGTTCACTGCTATTGTGGCAGGACCAAGTGGGTGTGGGAAGTCAAATTTTGTAACAAATTTCATAAAATCAGTTACAGAAATATGTAATTGTGATTTTAATCAGATCACATGGTGCTTTGATGAAATGCAACCATTATATAATTTACCAAATGTTAACTATCATCAAGGAATTCCAAATCTTAATATGTTTGATGGTGAAAACCCACATCTTGTTATTATTGATGATCTAATGAGAGAGTCCGATGGAAGAATTGTGGATATATTTACAAAAGGTAGTCATCACAGGAATCTTAGTGTATTTTATCTAACACAAAATTTATTTCATCAGGGTAAAGGACAAAGAGACATATCTTTAAACTCAAGTTATATAATATATTTTAAAAACCCTCGAGATAAAACTCAAATAAGATATTTAGCAAGACAAGTATCACCAGATAACCCAAAATTCATTGAAAATGCCTACAGGGATGCAACTCTAGAGGCACATGGATATTTAATGGTAGATTTAAAACAGAATACCAATGATTTTTGTCGTATCAAGACAAATGTCTTTCCATTTAATGGTTTCTGTACAGTCTACGTCCCCACAAAAGAGTTTAAATACACCAAGAATCAAACAATTGAAATCATTGCTAAATGATGCATCGTCGACTCACAACGTATAAACATTTGCTAACCGCTTTGCATACGCTTAAACCAAAATATCAAAGAGCATTACTTAAAACGTGTGATGAAGAAGAAATTAACTGTATTTGTGAGTGTATTAATAACGTTTTACAAGGAAAAGTACCTCTTAAAGATCAGGATAAACAAAAATTGAATAAACATAAAAACATACTCCGTAAACTAGTACGTAAGTGTAAACATAAACTAAGAAAAAATATAATTATACAAAAAGGAGGGGCTTTCTTACCAACAATATTAGGTGCAATATTGAGTGGATTAGTGAGTGGACTAGCCAGTTAACATGGAAAATGCAAAGAAAATGATACTTATCGAACCTGGATTGATTGAAAAATTAAAACAAGAAAATAAGGTTAATAGTAATTTATCTCGATTAGATATTGAAATGCAAAATATTATGAATAGTAAGACGGAAGACCGAAAGAAATGGATATTATATTTACAAACACTGCAAAGATACCTTCATTTTACCGAAGAGGATCGTCAACCACTCAAATTACCAATTTATTCTGATACATCTAATGAAGATTCAAATGAGTCAAAAATTGGTTTTAAAAATAAAGATAGAGATCTAAAAACTTCAGTTGATATTGAATCTTTGCTGGAGGAGAATCGATCCATTAAAAGTAAAGAAAATGATGAAAATCCACTTTACACACCAGCTCAAATACTCAGTTTAATACCAAAAACTTATCATAAAAAAGGGCAGTTATTATTAAACTTAGTTGAAACAAGTAAAAGTAAAATACATTGGGATAACGAAGGTACAGTCATAATTGATAGTGAAAAAATTCCTGGAAGTAATATTGTTGATTTAATAAATGATTCACTAAGACCCCTAAAAAGAAGTGATCCGGTAGGGTGGGTTAGATTTGCTGAAGCATTAAAAGATATTAAAGTACCACTTACTTATATTGGAAATCCAAGGAGATGTGAGTTTATTAACCAACTTCAAGCAAAAGATCTGAACAAACCCTCTGAGATTGAAGTTCAAGAGTTTTCTACACCGTGCAGTAGAGATAAAAAGTCTACAACTAAAATACGTAAAGGACTTGAGTGGGAAAAATGGACTCCGTACTAGAAGAAATTAACAGGATTTATTATGATCCATCTAATCCCGCTGGTTTTGGTAGTATTGATAAATTATCAAAAGCCATGAAGGGTAAAATGAATAAAAAGCAAGTAAAGGAATGGTTAAAATCACAAGAAACATACACATTACATAAACCCATTCGAAAAAAATTCCCGCGTAATAGGTACATTCTATCAAATATTAATGAACTGTGGCAAGCTGATTTAAGTGATATGCGAACTTATTCTCAATATAATGATGGTTTCAAGTATATACTTTGTATTATTGATGTATTTAGTAAATATGCTTTTGCAAGATCAATGAAAAAGAAAAACTCAGAAACAACTAAAGAATGTTTTGAAAGTATATTTACTGAAAGTAATTTAACACCTACTCACATACAATCCGATAAAGGTACAGAATTTGTTTCAAAAGATGTACAAAAATACTTTAAATCCAAAAAGATTAATTACTATACCACTAACAATCCTGACATTAAGGCCAGTATTGTTGAACGATTTCAAAGAACACTAAAAATGAAAATGTGGCGTTATTTCACTCATAATAATACTTATAGATATATAGATGTTTTACAAGATTTAATATACTCTTATAATCACAGCTTTCACTCTAGTATTAAGATGTGCCCATGTGATGTAAATTCCAACAATATTATGACAGTTTGGACTAATCTTTATGATAGACGGTCAAAAAAACTTTCTTTAGAAAATCCTAAACCAAATTTCAATGTGGGTGATTATGTTCGAATAACTAAATATAAACATGTATTCCAAAAAGGATATGAATCAAATTGGAGTGATGAAATATTTATTATATCTTCAATAATTGATAGATCTCCATGGGTTGTTTATACAATAACAGATTTACAAAATGAACCAATAATTGGTACTTTTTATGAAAGAGAATTACAGAAAATCACTTACAACCCCACCTCACAACATAAAATAGATAAAATAATTGACACTCGTTATTCAAGTAACAGAAAAGAAGTATTAGTGAAGTGGAAAGGTTATCCAGATAAATTTAACAGTTGGATTTTAGCTTCTAGTTTAAAAGAAATATGAATAAAGAAAGTTTCTATTTAACTTTGCTCAGCAATAGTTCAATGGAATACTTTCCTGATAACAAGACCACAAATTTTTCAACGAAATTACCAAAAGCTATAAAATTAGAAGGTGAATGGTCGGTTGGAGTTGTCGAGTTTCAATATCCATGTACCATGTTTACTGTTCAAGACCATGAAAATGTTATATACATTACAAAATCTATGTTAATGCCTAATGAAGATAAGCCATCCACAGTGTACTACAAAAAACATATTCCAGCTACCAACTATGATAACGTTGAGCATATTTTAAGAGTGTTAAATGGTATCGGAGAGAACTTGAAATTTCGCTATGATGAAATAACAAAATTTGTGTCTATTTCGGTATTGGATAAAAATATAACATCCGTAACATTATCACCCAAATTAAGTTTACAGCTAGGTTATGAACCAAATAAAAATCTCCTAGAGAGAAATTTTGGAAAGTGTCCTGCTAATTTACACTTAGGGTTACCATCTCAACTATTTCTATATTGCGACATTATCGATCCTCAGATTGTGGGTGATGTTATGACTCCTTTATTAAGAGTCATTTCATTAGATCCTACAAAATACATTTATGGTGCAAATAAAATGCACGTTTTCTCTCAACCTCACTACTTACCTGTTATGCGAAGAGAGTTCGATACGTTGGAAATAGTTATAAGATCGAGTACAGGACAAAAAATACCATTTCAGTTTGGAACCGTGTGTATTAAACTACATTTCCGAAAATTATAATAATGAATTCTCTTCGTGATCATCATAAATGTCCATATGAAAATTATTATACACATCAAGCTGGATCAGGAGTTGGAGTAATTTATAAGGGTTCACCATATCAACGCGGTCATGGTATTGGGAGCTTCTTAGGGGGTTATTCAGATCAGTTTTACCTTTACTTTCAAGTGGTGCTCGAGTGATTGGTAAGGAGGCATTAAGCGCTGGAGTAGGACTTTTATCGGATATGGTTCAAGCCCGTCCTATGGAAGCCTCAATAAAAGATCGTCTAAAGCAAGTTAGTACGAATTTAAAACGAAAGGCTGATGAGAAAATTGATCAATTTAACATGACTGGATCTGGGTATAAAACTAAAAGAAAACGATTGACATCGTTCATTCCACCATTAACTGCTAAAGTGAAAGCTGCGAAAAAACTTAGTCTAAAACCAAAAAATATCAAAGATATATTTTCAAACTAAATATGTCTTTCCTTCATAATCATTCTTGCGAGTGCGTTAAGTCAGAATTGGATTTGTTTGCACTACCGTCTACACAAACTAGCATTGAAAATGGATTGTGGATTCATTATAAACCAATTTCATCTCTTGGTGATGATGGACCTATCGAGTTTCAAGTTCCTGGGACCGGCGATGACTACATAGATTTGTCTCATACATTACTCCACATAAAGGCAAAAGTATTAAATCAAGATTCAACTAACTTGGTATCTACTACAATAGTAGCACCTGTAAATAATTGGTTGCATTCACTTTTTAGTCAACTTGATGTTTATTTAAACCAAAAACTTGTATCACCACCTAATAATACCTATGCATATCGAGCATACATGGAAACCCTTTTAAACTATGCCCCTGCTGCTAAACAATCTCATCTTACTTGTAGTCTTTGGTATGAGGATACAGC